AAAAAAAAAAAAAAAAAAATTCCAGCTAATTTATGATATTTAATATGTATCAAAAGATTTTTAATTAGAGGAACTATCATGTTCAATTAACAGTCATCTTTAGGAAACTTTGACCAAATAAAAAGCAGAATCAAATATTACGATTTTCATGCTGCTGCTTAATTTTAAATTGTCATTATAAAAATATTGTTAATATATAATGCGTAGGCTAAAACTCACCTTCAGAACGTGGTATCCCACAATGCACTTGGGCTTGATGAGAACCTGGTGAATCATGGAATAGCCGTGGTAACACTGCATCTCATGAGTGCGATGCTGGTTGGTTTTAACCAGAGACAGCAGCAGCTGCAGCGCCAGAGATTGAGTTTTCTCACAGTCGCTCAACTCTACCGCCTACGAGAACCAACAGACAGACAGAAAGAGTTAAGCGCAATGTGATTCTGACGTTCCTGCTGCTAAAATCACTGTATGCGTGAAATACATCACATAGTGAAAATGAATTGGGCTATCACTTTGTTTTCATGCTGGCAATCTTAGATCAGTGTTATAACACACAGAACAGAGGAAGCCTCAGCTAACAACACTTGATTGTTAATGCTGCCTGCGAAACAAACATGATGTGCACCAAACTAAACAACCTAACTCAACTAGATCCATCTGCACTAAATTATTTAATCATTTAATAAATGTCAGTTATTTGGCATCATACCCAAGGACGAGCATCTGTTGCTATTTTAATTAGCACTGCTCCTCAATTATTAAAAATTATTTTTTTGGTCTCACTAAGCATGGTTCACCCTAGTTGCTTTTCAACATGTATGGTTTAGATCATGTCAATAATTTTTCTTACTCAAAATTATTGAGTAAACACCACAAATGTCATGATTCTTTGCTAAATAGAAAGTTCAAAAGAGCAGCATTTATTTGAAACAGAAATCTTTTGTAGCATTATAAATGCCTTTACTGTCTGTCACTTTTGATCAAACTAATGTGTCCTTGCTGAATAAAAGTTTTATTTTTCTTACTAACCCCAAACTTTTGAATGGTAGTGTATGTTAATTTAAAAACAGTAATATGCGCTTCTGTGTTTTTGTTATCATGACAGACTGATCTGAAATGAGAGAAAGAGAGAATGATAGAAACACAAAGCGAGGCTTTGAGATGACTGTCGAGAGCTGTCTGAAGGATAATGTGAGGGAACGCAGTGTGAAAGAGAACGTCCCGGGCCAAGAACATGCCGACCAAAAATCCAATTTTGCCCTCTGAATGAAAGAAACATTATCAGATTACAATACCAGCAAAAAATGTGTACTGGAATATGAAGGAAAGACTGAATATACCTTCACTAGAGACTTTAAAGCATAATATTCAGATTTACCTCAGCCTCTCAAACAGTACTGCTTTGATTAAAAAGCACAGCCACCAGATACAGTCAGAGCTTTTGTGAATCAGCATTCAAGTTGACAAAAATGTAGTAAAAATTCCTGTATTTTTTACGTATATATTACATTGAAATGAAATAAAATATAGAAAAACGGAATCTTATTTTAATTCAGCAAGTTGCAAAGACAACATTTCTCATTTCTGAGCACTAAAATTACTAAAATTAATAAATACAAACTACAAAGACATACTTAAAAAAATACTAAAACCTTACAATTAAAATGAAAACAGAAAATATAAAAATAAAATATAATAGTAAAACTATAATAGCACATCCATTATTTTAAAATATCACTGAGTGGCATTGGTATAAATAATATAAATAATGTTTTAATAAAAAAAAAATGTATGACTGATTCAGAAAGTAAGAAATACTTTCACCTGATCATGATATCTCTGTTTATATGTTGAAACAAATACTGCTTTATTGTCTTTTTCTTTTTTTTTAAATCCCTCTTGTTAAAAAGCATCAACAAAAGGAGTTCAACTAAAAGATCTGGTCAAAATGCATAACCATTGTGTGTTTGTGTGCAGAAGTGTAAAAAAAAAAAAAAAAAAATTCCAGCTAATTTATGATATTTAATATGTATCAAAAGATTTTTAATTAGAGGAACTATCATGTTCAATTAACAGTCATCTTTAGGAAACTTTGACCAAATAAAAAGCAGAATCAAATATTACGATTTTCATGCTGCTGCTTAATTTTAAATTGTCATTATAAAAATATTGTTAATATATAATGCGTAGGCTAAAACTCACCTTCAGAACGTGGTATCCCACAATGCACATGGGCTTGATGAGAACCTGGTGAATCATGGAATAGCCGTGGTAACACTGCATCTCATGAGTGCGATGCTGGTTGGTTTTAACCAGAGACAGCAGCAGCTGCAGCGCCAGAGATTGAGTTTTCTCACAGTCGCTCAACTCTACCGCCTACGAGAACCAACAGACAGACAGAAAGAGTTAAGCGCAATGTGATTCTGACGTTCCTGCTGCTAAAATCACTGTATGCGTGAAATACATCACATAGTGAAAATGAATTGGGCTATCACTTTGTTTTCATGCTGGCAATCTTAGATCAGTGTTATAACACACAGAACAGAGGAAGCCTCAGCTAACAACACTTGATTGTTAATGCTGCCTGCGAAACAAACATGATGTGCACCAAACTAAACAACCTAACTCAACTAGATCCATCTGCACTAAATTATTTAATCATTTAATAAATGTCAGTTATTTGGCATCATACCCAAGGACGAGCATCTGTTGCTATTTTAATTAGCACTGCTCCTCAATTATTAAAAATTATTTTTTTGGTCTCACTAAGCATGGTTCACCCTAGTTGCTTTTCAACATGTATGGTTTAGATCATGTCAATAATTTTTCTTACTCAAAATTATTGAGTAAACACCACAAATGTCATGATTCTTTGCTAAATAGAAAGTTCAAAAGAGCAGCATTTATTTGAAACAGAAATCTTTTGTAGCATTATAAATGCCTTTACTGTCTGTCACTTTTGATCAAACTAATGTGTCCTTGCTGAATAAAAGTTTTATTTTTCTTACTAACCCCAAACTTTTGAATGGTAGTGTATGTTAATTTAAAAACAGTAATATGCGCTTCTGTGTTTTTGTTATCATGACAGACTGATCTGAAATGAGAGAAAGAGAGAATGATAGAAACACAAAGCGAGGCTTTGAGATGACTGTCGAGAGCTGTCTGAAGGATAATGTGAGGGAACGCAGTGTGAAAGAGAACGTCCCGGGCCAAGAACATGCCGACCAAAAATCCAATTTTGCCCTCTGAATGAAAGAAACATTATCAGATTACAATACCAGCAAAAAATGTGTACTGGAATATGAAGGAAAGACTGAATATACCTTCACTAGAGACTTTAAAGCATAATATTCAGATTTACCTCAGCCTCTCAAACAGTACTGCTTTGATTAAAAAGCACAGCCACCAGATACAGTCAGAGCTTTTGTGAATCAGCATTCAAGTTGACAAAAATGTAGTAAAAATTCCTGTATTTTTTACGTATATATTACATTGAAATGAAATAAAATATAGAAAAACGGAATCTTATTTTAATTCAGCAAGTTGCAAAGACAACATTTCTCATTTCTGAGCACTAAAATTACTAAAATTAAAATTAATAAATACAAACTACAAAGACATACTTAAAAAAAATACTAAAACCTTACAATTAAAATGAAAACAGAAAATATAAAAATAAAATATAAGAGTAAAACTATAATAGTACATCCATTATTTTAAAATATCACTGAGTGGCATTGGTATAAATAATATAAATAATGTTTTAATAAAAAAAAAATGTATGACTGATTCAGAAAGTAAGAAATACTTTCACCTGATCATGATATCTCTGTTTATATGTTGAAACAAATACTGCTTTATTGTCTTTTTCTTTTTTTTTAAATCCCTCTTGTTAAAAAGCATCAACAAAAGGAGTTCAACTAAAAGATCTGGTCAAAATGCATAACCATTGTGTGTTTGTGTGCAGAAGTGTAGTGACAGATAACTCATTCCACACGTTCCTGATCTCTACTAGTGATGAATATGCAGACAAACACATACCCGAGCAAACAGGAAGACAAAAGCGCCGGTGCCTCCGATCTTGTGCAGGACGCTGTGTAGGCCGAGAGCCTGGCAGGGCATCATGGTCCTGAGGAAAGGAGGCTCCAGGATGGAGCTCTGAACCTCTTTGGCACTGAAGGGCCGCTGGGAAGCCACCGTTGACTTGGCCTGGCCCTTCAGACGGATCACCGGCTCATATATGGTGTAGAGAGACGGCATGCTGGGGGCATAAACTACTGCTAAACTCTCCTGCAAAAACACAAATGCACATATGTTGAGATGCAGGCAAAGGAAAAGTATTTTTCTTGTTCTGTTTGAAATGAAAGTTCAATGTTGCATGCAGGCTCTAACATAGAGATCTGAAGGTGCGATCAGATTTGCAGTGTGGGACTAAATGTGAGAGTAGTAAGTGGAAGCGAGTGGTTTTCCTAACAGTGAGGTTTGCCTTCTCTACAGTAATGGAAATTCTTGACTGTCCTAAAACATAGGCTTCATTTTTTATGCTAATATATTATTAACCCTATAAAGCCTACTGTTTCATATTTACTAAGTGAATTTCTAAGGCCTGTAAATAATCAACATGTTCAAACTTTGCTGTTAAACCTGTTGCACACAATTATGCCTTCTGTTGCCTGATTGATAGTTTAGAGTTTTTTTCAGCAAGTAAAAGGTCTTTTAGTAAAATTGTGCAAATGTCCACCTTCAGCTCTTGCTTCACGCATCTTTTTGTTGTTAAATCTTTATTTATAAAGTAAATGCAAGAATATCTTTGATATTGTTAGTAATATTTCCAGATGAAGCAGCTTGGCTTTACTTGATTCTCCATCAATCATTTTGTAGAAAAATCAGTGCATCTCAAATCTGATCATCAGGATCTTTTGAGGAGCGTTTATTTGTTCATCTCTCAATCATCATTGGATTGCATTGCATTATATGTTTTGATTACTATCTAAGCATCTCATCTTACTCAGACCTATTATTGGAGATACAGAGTGACGACTGATATTTATATCATTTTATGTAAGTATCTGCTGTACTGTTATAAAGATCTCATTGATTTACATTAGAAGCTTCAGAATTTCATCTTACTTTTTGGCCATATATAAATATCAGCATCTGCACCAAATTAAGTCATTTTTATCAGTTTGGGCCTCTGAATAAAAACTGATTTTTCTCTTAATATTCTCACTATATCAGACTATATAAGCCATATATGTACCAAAGCATGATACTCGATAAAAACATATGCAAACTTGTTTTACATTTTGTCTAAAGATTTTCTTATTTATTTTATTGTTTAAGGTTCAATAAAGTCTTCCATTTCAAAAAATTTGATTTTCTGACTATTATTTTCATATATCAATGTTTTTCTTTCAATCTCGAGGTGAAATATCACTTGGACAGGTTACTGACAGATTTCTTTAGATAAATGTGTACAATACTTTATATTAGCACTAGATATTGTCAGAAAATATCTGAAAAAAGAAGCATATTCATCCATGAGAAATGAAGGTTTGTGCTGAAATGACTTTTTCTGATGGCAGTAATTATCGAGCATGTAATGCATTAGCATAGGAACACCTGGAACAGCATGTAGACGCGTAAAATCACCAGTAATTAAGATGTCAGTGGGTAAAACTGCACAGAGAAGGCACTTCAACAAGCAGCAAATGATGTACAAATGGACAAATAATGTTGCCTGCTTTTCAGTGGCAGTGAAGGAGATAAACGAGCTATTGAACTATGTCACTGTCAGATACATTTGCATAAAAGCCTTCTGGTGAAATATGTGACATTTGGGAAAAAATTAAATAAATTCATATTCATAGATGCAGTGGCTTACAATAAGAGGTGCGATGTCAATGTCTGTATTCCTCATGAGGAGCTCTCGTATCTGCTCACACTGAAGACCCTCCTGTGTCACGTACTTGGATACTGTCCCATGAGGCTTGCCGTACTTGCAGGGCATGATGGAGGTGAGGTCAGGACCGCTGGCAAACAGGTAAAAAGCCTCCGCAGTGTCAATTCTGGAGCCTAAAACAACCAATAACCAGTTTATATGTAGGCAAATATCACCGTTTATTACTGTATACTGTATTGTTGCATATAAATGAAATGATTAAATATAATTCTTCTGTGTTGTTTTAATGAAAATACAGTAAGGGTGGAAAACATGCCTTGATTAATTTAAATATGTCTGCATTTTTCACATGAATATAAAAAAATACATGAACATCATTTAAAAAATGAAGAATGTTATATGTTTTAAGATTTATATGAAGTTTTTTTTGTCACTGTTATTATTGTTTTTAAATATTAGTATTTAGATTTAATTTATTTTTATTTTGTTTTAGTTTTTATTTATTTCCAGTTATTAATTTTAGTGCACCAATTTAAAGTAAACTTATTTCAGTTAGTTGACAAGGCAACACTTCTAATTTTTGTTTAGTTTAGGTTTTGGATCTAACGTTTATATTTTATTGTATTTTATTTCAGCTTCATTTCAATTAACAAATATGTTTCTAATAGTTATAATAGTTGCAATATCAGCTTTAACAAATAATATAATAAATACAAACATTTTATGAAATTAAATTTTGAAAAAAAGACCAACCAATTTGTTTATGCAACTCTAAAAAAGATTCATTAAATGTACTTATGATAAAAAAAATTTTTCAAAGTTTTTCTTTGTCCATTTTACAAAATAAGTCCTTCAAAGTTTGTCTTGATAAAAACCGTTGTCTCATGACATAAAAAAATGGCAAGACCAAAAACATATATTTTACAGACAAGTTAGTGCAACAATATTGACATTGAGCTATATAATCTAAAATATGTGAATTGACAAACGTCAATAGACAAGAAAGAAAAATAATAGAGTGTGGTGGATGAAAAGCTGTGACCTAAAGACAAATAAACAAAGTGGGGGGAAAAAAAAAAAACATTGAGAGCAGCACTGCACCACATAACCACATTAGAGTGTTTCACAAGTTGGGAACGGCTGGACTCGGCCCATTCATGACCTAATAGTAGCAACAGAATGGCTATTCTGTTAAGAAAAGTGTGTTGTGTGGAGGGAATGTGGAGAATCTGTGGCTCACACACAGAAACTTCCAGCAGCAGGAAGATCCCACGTTACCAACAACATCACTGCCGCTGAAAGCGCATACAAATAATCTTTCCAACAACACGAAGCGGTGATATTTGATTACTATTTATATACTATTATTGTTTTTTTGTTGGTAACATTTGTCAACATTATTTAATGCATCAGCTAACTATTTCTCACAGCTTTTATTAATCTATACCCCATTTTCCACCACAATAAAATGTTTTTTTTTTTTTATAGGACTTTTTTTTAGGACTTTGAGATATAAACTGAGAATTCTTTTTTTTGTTTTTTTTCCCACACAACTGCAAGTTTCTCTCTCGCAATTCTTTTTTTTTTGTTTCCACCATGGAACAAAACATTTAAAAAAAAAAAAAAAGGTCATTGCAAGTTCAGAATTGCTAAAACAAAACAAAATCAGAATTGTGAGATAAAAAGACAATTAACTTATTTCAGTTAGTTGCCAAGTCAACATTTCTAATTTTTGTTTAGTTTGACATTTTCAGCAGTTTATTTTCAGCTTTATTTCATTTAATAAGTATGTTTTTAACAGTTTTAGATTTAATTAAAAATATATGTGCGATTGATCTGATGAAAACCACAAACATTTCAAAGGGGAGATCATTATACTGTAGGGAAGGTCTATGAGAACTGGTTTCATACCATTAAAGAGCAGCAGTGTGCCCATATCCCAGCGTGCACTTGGGCTGGCCTGCTCCTCTGAGGAGTGCTGATAGTGTCCAAGCATACAGTAGGTCTTATTACTGTCTGATGACAAACTGGACTTCCTGGGCAGAGTGAAGTCTAGCGAGACGTCACACTTCCTGTATGTGGCACAGGAAGGCTTGATTAAAACATGATTCTGACTGCATAAAAACTGATGTCTGCAGCCCTGGTTGAACTATCCATTTAAATCATCCACCAACTAATTGCAGTGGCAGACTCACCGAATGCCGCTCACCCAGAGGGTCAGCTGACCGTGGACGTTCTTCCTGCCCTCAGGCTGCTGTGTGTACGTGAGAGCCAAGTGCTGCCACATGCCTGTCGTCAGCACACCGTCTCCAGACTCCGCCTGGGCTAGCAGACCCGCCTTCATCTCATCGTTTGGATCGATGCAGATCCTGAATTCATAAACAAAGAGTTACTATTGTAATTTAGCATGGAAAACATAAACATACTTTTTGGAACTCATGCACAGAAACTACAAGCAGCAGCTGGAAGATGCCAACCTTGCAAATGAATAATTTTTTCCAAAAGCACACACATTCTCAAGCCAGTGTTATTTTACTATTATTTATTTATTATTATAGTTTTATATATGTTTTTTTTTCAATCATTTATTATTTTGAAATAGATTTTATCTTTATGTATTTATTTAGATTTTATTATTATTATTATCATTATTAAATATTGCTAATTAGGTTTATTTTTATTTCAATTTTAGTTTTAGTTTAGTATTAGTTAGTATGTTGAAAGTGAGAAATCTACATCTAAAAAAAAAAAAAAATTTAAAGGTGCACAGAGTATTCTTTTTTTTACCCAACACAAAACAGCATTCACAACCAATTTTCTTTCCAAAAATTATTACTGTAATTACATTTAAATTTATGCATTTGGAAGACGCCTTTACACTGCATTCAAAATATACATTTGATCAGTTCATGCATTCCCTAAAAAAATTGGTAACACTTTTACAATAAGGTCCCATTAACTAACATGAACTAAAAATAAGCAATATATTTTTACAGCAATTATTAACCTTTGTTAATTTGAGTTAATAAAAATGCTCATGTTCATGTTAGTTCACAGTGCTACTACTGTTAACAGATCTTCATTGCTACTTCATGTTGACTAATGTAGTTAACTAATGTTAAATATAATAATAATCAAACCCATGGCCTCTACTGTTTTAGCTACAGAAATGCTATTAGTTATTCAACATGAGGAAAAAAATATAATGTATAATGACACTTAAATCTATCCATTAGGAGTAGCTAAGATTATGCAAAATAGTGTTTTATATCAGAAAGGAGTTATAGTTGATTGCAATTTGCAGTGGATTGTGTAAGATCTACTGCCCTCCTGAAACACCACTGGCATCCACTTTTGAGGAGGAAAAATGTGCTTGGTGCAACTTTAAGTTCAAGTTTTGCCATGTCACTCACCTGAAGGTAAAGGCTCCGGTGGAGATGTTCACCCACACCTGAAGCATCAGCGCCTTAGAGCCCATGGAGAGGACATGGAGGAGACATCTGTCTGTCTGCTGCTCCGTGACATGTGCGGGACCATGCAGGACCTCCTCTGACAGAGACGCCTCCTCTTCTGCAACACACAGCCAAATTAACTCAGCAAACCTCCTCTTAGATATAGTGGGATGGTGTTCATGTTTCAGGGCTGTTATTGTTAACTAAAAATAAATCTATTCCAAAGCATATTTTCGGTAATTGAATTAAAGCTGAAACAAAGTAAAACAAATATTATATGAAAAACTTAAACTTAAAAAATGACAAAAACTGAAATAAAAAATAAAGAAAAATAAAAGAAAAACCCGAATAAAAAGCAAACACAACACTATTAAAAATTTAATTAAAACTATTAAAAATGTTGTCTGTAATTGAATTAATGATGAACTGAAATATTATATGCAAAACAAATTTGCCTTGGTAAATAACTGAAAAATTATTTTAAGGACTAATATAACTAAAACCTAAATAAACAATTTAAATATATATATATATATATAAAAAAAAAACCTAAAAATAACAAACTCACATAACAACATTACTAAAACTTAAACTATAAAACTATTAAAAAATATTGTCCATAATTGTTTTAAAGCTGAAGTGAAACATAATGATCAAAAACTTCAACTTAAAAAAACTTAAAATGTTGCCTTGGCAACTAACTAAAATAAAGTTTAAGTGCAAGTACTAAAAGTATTAAAACTGAAATAAAAAATAAAGATAACTAGAAAAGAAAAAAAAGACAAAAACAATCACACAACAATATTACTAAAACTAAAATTAAATTGAAAACTAAAAATACAAAAATAAAAGAATTCAAAATATTAATAAATGCTATAATATATAAATAATACTAATCTGCATTATAAATAAAAATTTTATTCTAATCTGCTCAAAAAATAATGCTCTTCTTCTTACCCTTCTTATAACGCCCATCCTCATCCTTCCCCGCTCGTACCCACAGCGAGGCGCTGAAGCCACTGGCCATGTGAGGCCAGCAGTTCTGTCCCACTAAGGGCAGGTGGAAGGGTGCCGTATGCCAGGGAGAGCTGCGCAGATGACCGGGCCTGCTCATGTCTGCTTCACCACAGCCCAGCGGTAATTTACCCCTCAAAAGAGTGTTTACTCCACCCTTACCACCAGCCGTCCCATGAGGCCTCATCCCAGGAGAGGAGCTCAAGCCGGGGACCCCTGCGCCAGGGATCATGGGAAAGGACATGAAGTAGAGCGGCTCTGTGTCTGCATTAGCCTCCACAATCTGAAGCAAGCCTCTCAGCAAGATCTCCTACGGATGATGAAAACAAAATAAAGATTTCTGCATTTCATGAAGAAAATATGAGCAGTGTTTGCTGAAATGTTGAGGTTTTATACTTATCATATAACATTGCATATAACATTGCTTATCATATATCATTCAAGAGTTTAGGGTCAGTAGGACTTTTTTTAATGCAAGCATGCATTAAATTTATCAAAAGATTTCTATTTCAAATAAATGCTGTTTTTTTAAACTATTTATTTTAACTATTCAAAGAATCCTGAAAAATACAATATATCACAGTTTCCACAAAAATATGAAGCAGCACAACTGTTTTCATCATTGATAATCAAATGCAAAAACAAATCAGCATATTAGAATGATTTCTGAAGGAAGACTGGAGTAATAATGCTGAAAATTCAGCTTTACATCACAGAAATAAATTACACTTTCAAATATATTCAAATAAAAAGTAGTTATTTTAGATAGGAAAAAATATTTCACTATACTAATTACTATTTTTACAGTATTTCTGATCAAATAAATGCATCCTTGGTGAGCAGAAAAGACTTCTTTCAAAACTTGTTGAACTTGAATAGCAATCCACACTGAAATTTGCTGCCCGACGTAATGCAATCTTCGCAAATATGACCAACTGACAGGTTTCATGAAATTCACACACTGATGACGTTCACGCTCTTCACCGAGTGCTTACACAGATACACACGGGAGCGTTTGAAAGCTGCGTCTATCAGCGGATCCCTAACATAACTGCTCATAGACGGATCTGCTGATAGACGTGGCTTTCAAACGCTCCCGTGTGTATCTGTGTACTTTAGACAACACTAACAGTAGGTGCCAGGAAAGAGCCTGATAATACAAGGATTAGATACAGCAGTTCAACATAAATCAAGAAAACACAAAATTCATGTTAAATGTCGAATATACAAGGGAAGTGTCAGGATGAACGCCTAGTCGACTAGTTTTCTCACAACTGACTAGATGATCACTGAGATCATTATTCTAAAGCTTTATATCTAGATTTATAATAATAGTCTTTGTGTTTTGTATCTTTAACCTACAGTATGTAGAAACCACATAAACCAGTAAATTAGAGCGTTAAAGACAGGAGAGGTGCTCAGAAGTAAAGGACTGGCAATCAGAAACAAAGTACATAAAGAGATGCTTGAAAAAACCGAATGATAATGAACGTAGCATGGTTGACTCATATCAGCATTGACAATCCAAAGGCTGGCATTCTGCATCAGTCCACTTTCTGACACTGTGTTAAAAATAAACCTGTTCGATCACACTGATCACATTTGTATTGTGTAGTTTCAAACCTTTTCCTTTTCTGTGGACAAATATACAGATGCAGTGTTTTTGGCACACAATACCACATTTAAATGCTAAGTGGGGTTGCACTTACAGTGGGCGGAGTCTTCTCCAGGAAGAGGCGTGTCAACAGGGCAAGTTCCTCCGCTGTGATCCTGTCACTCACCATGGCAACGAGCAGCTCCGTCAGTATTGTCTGGCACTCTGCATAGAGCAATTAGACCATTGTTTAAGGGCTTATTAACATGCTGCTCTCATCAAAACAAAACTTTTTTTTGATCACCATGAAAGCAAAATGGACTATTCTTTTTTTTTGGAATATTGC